AGCTCATATGTGTGTGTGTTGTAGTCTCATTGGTGCAAGCTCAGTTTTTTTTCCCACTTGGTGATGTACCGGTTCCTTCCTAGTTGCTACGTAGCTCATGTGTGTGTATGTTGTAGGTCCATTTGTCCAAGTTCAGTCTTTCTCTCGCTTTGTGATGTGGCGGTGTTTTCCTAGTTGCTCCATAGCTCAAATTTGTGTGTGTTGTAATCTCATTGGTGCAAGCTCAGTCCTTCTCTCACTTGGTGATGTGCCGGTTTCTTCCTAGTTGCTCCATAGCCCATATGTGTGTGTGTTGTAGTATCACTTGTGCAAGTTCGATATTTCTTTACTTGGTGATGTACCGGTTCCTTCCTAGTTGCTCCATAACTCACATATGTGTATGTTGCACTCTCACTTGTGCAAGTTCAGTATGCTCTCACTTGGTGATGTACTGGTTTTCTCCTAGTTGCTCTGTAGCTCACATGTGTGTATATTGCACTCTCACTTGTGCAAGTTCAGTATTTCCTCACTTGGTGATGTACCGGTTCCTTCCTAGTTGCTCCATAACTCACATGCGTGTATGTTGCACTCTCAGTTGTGCAAGTTCAGTATTTCCTCACCTGGTGATGTATCGGTTCCTTCCTAGTTGCTCCATAACTCACATATGTGTATGTTGTAGATTCACTCGTGCAAGTTCAGCCTTTTTCTCACTTGGTGATGTACCGGTTCTTTCCTAGTTGTTCCATAGCTCACATATGTGTATGTAAGTTCAGTATTTTTCTCACTTGGTGATGCACCGGTTCTTTCCTAGTTGCTCTGTAGCGTACATGTGTGTATACTGCACTCTCAATTGTGAAGTTCAGCCCTTCTCTCACTTGGTGATGTACCGGTTCTTTCCTGGTTGCTCCATAGCTCACATATGTGTATGTTGCACTCTCACTTGTGAAGTTCAGTCGTTCTCCACTTGGTGATGTGCCGGTTCTTCCTAGTTGCTTCCATGGCTTCCCACATGTTTATGTTGCAGCCATACTTGTGTTGTTCAGTCCTTCTCTCACTTGGTGATGTGTCGGTTCTTCCTAATTTGCTTCCGTAGTTTCCCACATGTGTATGTTGTAGACACACTTATGTTGTTCAAGTCCTTCTCTCACTTGGTGATGTGTCGGTTCTTCCTAGTCGTTCTGATAGCTTCAGACATATGTATGCTGTAGTCTAACTTGTGAAGTTCAGTCTTTCCCCAGCTTGGTGATGTGTCGGTTCTTTCTAGTTGTTTCCATAATTTCCCGCATGTGTATGTTGTAGTCTGGCCTGTGAAGTTCAGTCTTTTCTCCACTTGGTGATGTGCAGGTTCCTAGTTGCTCCATAGCTCACATGTGTGTTTGCTGCATTCTCACTTGTGCAAGTTCAGTCTTTCATCCGCTTGGTGTTGTGCTGGTTCAACCCTGTTGCTCCTATGACTCTATATGCATGTATAGGATAGTCACACTTGTGCGGATTCAGTCTTCCCCTCGCCCGGTGATGAACCGGTTCAGATCTTGCTGCCTCTGTAGCTCTATGTGCGTGTGTAAGCCAGTTAAGCTCGTGTTGATTCAGTCTTTCCCTCGCCCGACGATGAACCGGTTCAGATCTTGCTACCTCCATAGCTCTATGTGCGTGTGTAAGCCAGTTAAGCTCGTGCTGATTCAGTCTTTTTTTTCTCACTTGATGATGTACCGGTTCAGATCTTGAACCGGGGGTGGTAGGCCGAGTAAGGACAAGGCTTGATTAGGGACTCTCTCTCTCTCTCTCTCTCTCTCTCTCTCTCTCTCTCTCTCTCTCTCTCTCTCTCTCTCTCTCTCTCTCCATTCCTTTATTGCGCTCTTTGATCCGCCTTCCTCTACCTCTTCCATAATCTAAGTGCGCTCTTTGATCCGCCTTCCTCTACCTCTCCCATAATCTAAGTTTAAACCCTTTCTCTCTTTCGACTTGGCATGCAACTAACCTCTCCCCCTCACTTGTTACATTGTCAGAGGACGAGTGGTGAAAGAAAGTTGACCTCACTTGGTGGAGAAAGAGGGCAAGGGAAGGATTGTCGATCCTTTGTGCCGCCAAGAAGGAAAGGAAGGGAACACTTGAGAATGGTAAACGGAAAACGCTGTGAGATCAGAAGCAGGCTAGTCCGAAGAGGACTAAAGGAAGAAATTGTTGTTTGAGAAGGAAGGTCAGTTGACTCAACAAGAACCCGAACTGCATGAATATGTGAGAAGGATGGATTGGACGAGTGAAGTAAAAGGAATGGTAGGAAGCCAAGGATAAAGAAAGAAAACATAGGCATGTGGGAGGGGCTATGTGTTGACCCCCAAGTGGGGAATTGTATCGGCCTTTGCTTTGTGTTGACTGTGCAGGTGAGTAGCATTGGGGTGACTTGAGCAGGATTGGGCTAGGGATGTGCCAGCAAAGGGAAGAGGAATGGATGAGCGAAGGGCTATGGGGCCCTAGCGTAAACTCCACCTGGGGATGGGGCCTTGGTATATGGAGTTTTGAGTGTGGACTGAGTGGGGAACGGAATCTTGATTGATTGAAATATGAAGTAACCTTTGTATGCGGATGAATGCCCTGAAAAGACTAAGAGGCAGACACCAATGACGATGGATGTAATGCTTGGAACATGGAAATACATAGGGGAGAAGGGGGAAGGCGGCACCGCCACCCCCCGATGATGCCATAGGATTGTTGCGTTAAGGAAATGGTGCGTGGCCTAAGGATGACACTTAGCCTATGCACGAAAGAAGAGAAGATCTCAAAGAACCCCTGGACTACATGAGTATTGGAAGGAGCAATTGCCTGTGAACACAATCAAGAATCAGAAAAACTACGCTTGCGAAAGGATCAGCGAGACTACCACTCGGCGTGAGGGCTGAGCTACATCCCCAATGTCGAAGTTGTCTCGCTCGATGGCCCACCCCCATCCATCTCAAAGCACTAGGTGGGGGTGACCCCGTGACGAATGGCCCGCGCCCTGAGCATGAGCGTGGGCGGGCCGAGCCATCTGGGACCCGCAGTGGGGTCGACGCAGGCTCGAAAGTCTAACGGGGTTTGACCCTACAGCGGGCAACCACTTGGTTTTCTTACGTTGTTCCTTGTGGGTCTGGGCATCTCTCTCTCTCTCTCTCTCTCTCTCTC